CACAAACACACAGCGTGTGAGTGTATATATGTGTGTATATATGTGTATATATTATATATGTACATATGTATATATACGTGTACATATGTATATATGTGTATATATACATACTATATATCTATAAATATATATATACACACGCCTGTATTTATTTATGTAGATACATACATAGATGAATAAATATGTGTGTGTATATATATATGTATGTATATATATCAAATGCATGTGTGTTTGTGTGAGTGTGTATATATTCATAAAGATATAATTATATGTGTATATATTTATATCTATAAATATGTGTGGGTATATATACATATACATCTCCACATATATACGCGAATAAACTGTATATGAATGTTCATGTTTATGTTTGTATTTATAAGAATCAGTTTTACGTTAGGGTGCTATCGATTTCATATGCAAATGTACAGGAGCACATGTTTTGTTATCGCGAATATGTGTATGTGTGCATATACAGAAAAATATGAATATAAATGTATATATATATTTACATCTATAAATATATGTATATTATATAAACGCACAAATATATTGTATGTTCATGTGTTTATATTTATCTATATATGTGACTGTGTGTATATATACATAAAAATAAGTTTATATCTATAGATATATGTATATACATGTACATACATATATACATACCTGTATGTCCACATATACACGGATATACTGCATATGTTGATGTGTATGTCTGTATTTATAAGAATCACTTTTACATCATTGTGCTGTCGATTTCATATCCAAGTGTACAGGGGGCATATGTTCTGTTACAAATTTACCGTGTTGGCTGCGCAACCACCGCCACGTCAGCGCATGCGCGGCACTCCTCTTGGGGTCCGCATCCGAGCGCTTCGGTGCCGTTTTCGCAGACGCCCCAGTTGTCTCCTGCCACGTAGCGCCACTGTGGAAAAGCAAATTCGGTTTAATTGCAAATGTAACACATTAGTATTAAAGGGGCCAAAACACGAGACACGATTTGAATTGGTATACGCTTTTACAACCAGGAAGGACAGCGACGCCCTGCCGTACCTGCATGACACACTGGGTGCACGTAAGGCCCTGGGGCAGCTGCAGCTGCACCGCATGCTCTCCGGTGTTGGTGCTGATCTGGTGCTTGAAGCCTGAGCCGTCGGCCTTTAACAGACGGTGCCTGGGGACAGCAGGGCAGAGGAAGCACATCATCTTCGTCATATTATGTTGATTATAGTTTTATCTTTTTGTTTCACCTTCTTTTCTTTTTTTTTGGGGGGGGGGAGGTTGCGAGTGTTGTTTTGAATAATTTTGCGCAGCTGTGCGTTTTGGGAAGATGGACAAATGTAAGATTAGTGTGAGACCTTGAGGCAATTACACTATAGTTTCTCAATACATGTTTCTGAATGAATATTCTTGATACTGTCAGATCTGAGGTGTGACTCTTGTCAATGCTGCTAAGTACTTTCTACAGCATATCACGGCGGCTTCGAGCATATCACTCGCTTTTGCTGTTTCTGTGCTTAGCTCTTTCTTAAGGGGAATGAACACAGGCTGCTTACAGAAAGCCCACAAAACCAAATAGGTGAGGTCAATAATGTGAAATTTAATGTTGACTGACCGTAGAGTCTCAGCCGTCAGCGAGGGAATTTCAGACTGCTAAGATTACTTGTAGATGTGCGTTTTCACTTAGGATTGAATGGACTCGCTGCAAACCTTGACTACTATTGATTAAATCGAAAATTGAGCTTATTGCAATTGTATTAGCTGTCCTGCATAATGTATATTTCACATATTTTTGCATTTCCTTAATTTTTTTGCTATTATACTTTGATTGGTGATACATATATAATCATATGAGATAGAAACACGATACATTGCCTGTTGAAAAGACTTTATAAGAACAATACATAAATCTAATGTCCAAAACAATGTAACACCATAGAGATCAATTAGGATGAAAGACGTTTTATAATCGTCTGTAAGAACGAAATGAAAACGTCATCCAAATAGATATAATATAGTAAATTACTGAATCAAAACATTTAAAACTAGAAAAGCACTCAGAGAGTGCAGACCTCCGCCAAGGTGTGTATATAATGTACTTAAACCGCTGCTGCGTCCAGACGGTAATTCGGAATGTCAGTGAAATGTGGTACACGTTTACCGTAGATTTGTATACGTTACTGATTAATTAATGATAATAATAATAATAACCAGACGGTAATTTGGAATGTCACCAAAATTTAATCAGCTCTAAGTTAGTCCCTTTCTGACTTGTCCCCAAAAATTCGATGAAATCCGGCCAGCACTTTTTGAGCTAGGCTGCTAACAAACAAACTAACCAACAAACCAACGCCGTCAAAAACATAACCTCCTTGGCGGAGGTAACAAAAGCGGAACGCCAAGTGCGGCCGCTAAGACTCACTTGTCGAGGCAGGTGTCCGACGCCTCGACGCTGGGGTCGTTGTTGGGGCAGATGCGGAACTCGAAGTGGCCGCCGTGGTTGCTGGTGACGTTGACGCGCACGGTTATCGTCTGGCCCTCCGTGTACGTGCGCACAATCGTCCCGGTGGCGTACTTCCCGCCGGCCTCGTGCGGCCGCGGGTTCTCGTCCCACGCGTCGCCGCAGATGCCGCAGCGCCCGCTCTGGTTCTGGTACTGGTGCTGCGGGAGCGAATCGTGTTAGCCCTGCTTTGGTTTTGCCATTGCTAATGCTATTGTTTATCAATGTACCTCCAAAGCATAAATTAGTATTCATATTAATCAAGACCGCCAGCAAACCATCCTCAACGTGAGCATGTTCAACACGCGGCCTCGTCACTCACCTCGACCCCCCCACAGAAGCTCTCGTCGTCATTGTAGTCGACGGGCACATCAAAGCCGAATCTCCAGGCAGACGCCCGCGAGGGGGGTTCCACCAGCCGCCCGTGGCCCCAACACGCGCCCACCACCTATCACGCCCACGGTGGAAAGAGGGGGAGAAGGGGAGAGAGGAAAGGGGGAATTAGCCAGAGGGACAGAGGATGAATGTGTCTATCAGAGAGAGAAGAAAAATAGGGAGATAAAGTGATAATATGTCATGTATATAAACGTACATATACATATATTTGAGTGTGTATGTATGTAATATATATGGTGAGAGAGATGGAGAGAGAGAGATGAGAATGTATAAATGACCGAGAATGAAAAGAGCAGAAAGGATAAAGACAACCGTAAGTAAAAAACAATGAGATGGAGTACGCAACATTATTTTTTTCTATTTAAAAGGATGAACAAGATCATAAAAGGGCAAGAGGACGGGGCACAATGATACCCAAAACAGTCATGAATACAGCATTATGTAAACGATGACAGCAACCGAAAAGAAAGGCAAATTTACAATCTACATTTTCTTACACCTTATAAACAAAACAATTTCACGAACATGATTAGCGGGAAATTAGGAAAAACAACAAAAGGAAGAATCTATAACATTAACATTCTTTTAGCACTTAAATTGTTAAAATGTTGGAGTTTATTTTTTTTATTTGTGACGATAGGAAAAAAGAGAGTTGTTATTTATAGATGAAGTAAACAAAACGGTGAAAAAATATGACAAGTTGATAATAACTCACAATAGCGAGCGTCAGTACACACTGTTGCCACAATTTGCCTCCCATTATAAACCTGAAACAAAAAGAAAATATTTTTGTACAATTTTGAATGATAGAAATGAACAAAACTAAGACTTCAAACCCAAGTTGAATATGTAAAGGAGATAAATGATTTAAACCTAAATACTCAATAGTTCTGATTCGAAGTTACAATTCACATAATTATATAGTTTGAAACACTGGACATATGTAAAGACCTGCACAGGTCTCAGCAGATCAAATTAATGGCAAAACTAAACACACAAAAAAAGACAATGTAAAGTATAACACACACAAATACACACATATACATTACATACATACATATATACACATGATATGGGCAATTAACAAGAAAAAATAATACAAAAAAAAAACGGTTACAGATGCATCCGCAGTTTCAAATAATGACTCATTCAAAAAAGGATTTAAAAAAGGGAAAGTAGAACCTCGCTCGTGATTTCGGACAAGGGATGAGCCGAGGATGAGACGACAGCAGAGGCATCTTCCGCCGAGGACGCGCTGCCTGGCTGGTGGCTGCCGTTCGTGCCGAGAGCAGAAAGTGCCGTTATTCGCGGGAAAGAGACGAGGGGATATAAAAATGGGGAGAGAAGAGAAAGAAGGGAAGAAAGAAAGTGAGGGAGATGAGAGGGAGGAAGAGATAAGGGATGGAGGTGATATAGTGAGAGAGGGAGATGTATAGAGAGGGATAGAGAGAGAGTGGGGGTGAGGGAGGGAGGGAGAGAAAGAGGGGTAGAGGGAGAGAAAAAGAGAGAAGGGAGAGAGGGAGAGATAGACAGAGAAAGATAGAGAGAGAGAGGAAGAGGGTATGAGAGTGATTTAGAAAGTGCAGACCACTCTTAACCTTGGCATTCTCTTCTCAGTCTATTCAAGCAAACGCAAAGCAACCTAAATAAAATGTATAATTTTTCACATACAAAAATCCCATTTTACTATCCTCACAGCTGTCTTTTATTGGAGATCCAGATTTTACATTTGTTTCCTTTCAAACTCCATAGTTGCCACAAGTTCATCGATACTTACAAGTAGGGCTTAACAATAACGATAAAAGTACCTGTACAATGTAGTTTAGTAACAGTTCATAACTGTAGAATCAATTTAGTTATTAGTTCTCGAGACTTATTCTTTTTTTTCAGCATTTAGTGTTTTGGTAAAATTCAGAATTCAGGTAGTTCAGAATCAATGTCCATAAATTGCATCTTACTAATTGTCTTCATTAATTTGATTTCTTTAAATATAAAATGTAACATGATTCAGTACTCTAGCATTTCAATTAAGAAAAAAAATACATACAATTTTATGCATTCATTTATCAACAGGCGTATTGCCTAGGAGTCGGTAGGCTTTAGCGAGTCGAATTTTGTCGTCGATTTACTATTTGGTGTATGATCAATTCTGTTTAGTGTATGTTCATACCATTACGTGATAGGATTACGCTGCACAGCTAGGTTATAGCATTATTCCGTGTACTGTATAATTTAAGAAGAAAAGGTATTACATAATATATCACTCATATACCACTACGGATTACTGCTGAGCCTTGAACAGGCAGCTTTGCCTATTTTGTGAAGAGTTAGAGTTCAGGCACTTTCTAGATCAGTGGTTCTCGAAGATTTTTTTTCTTTTTTATTCATTACGTGCCCTTTTACTTTCATAGGAGAGAAAGAGGGGGGGGCAGAGGTAGGGACATAAAGAGCAAGAGAGAGAGAGCTACAAACAGATACAGACAGGCAGACAAGCAGACAGAGGAGATACCTAAAGAGCAAGAGAGAGAGGGATACAAACAGACAGAAAACCAGGACAGAGACAGATACAAAAAAAGGAGGGCAAGAGACAGCCATACAAAAACACACAGACAAAGAACTTGACAAAGACATAGAAAGAAACTTATGTAATTTGAGTGTCGTCTTAAAGGCATATGATTACGGGCAATTACAAAGTAGAATATATATATATGATTTATAAATGAAGGTAGGGTTACAAAAATGTACAGATCAAATGAAATGCCAATTCTAGGCATTAATTTGTCATTGGGCTTCGTATGGTTCAAGATGTGGTTGTTTATGTTTGTTGTGTGTTCACACATATAAACGTATTTATGTATATATATGTTTCCATGTATAAATATTGGATATGTACATACAAGCATATAAATGTATTCCTCTCTCTATATATATATTTATGCATACATACATATATACTGCATATATTAATTTATATAGAAAAGTATATATAAATGTATATATACATCTTATATACAAATATATGTGCATATATATACGTACAAATATATGTCTATAGACAAATATATATATATATAAATATGTATATATATTCATATATATATACATATCCACACACACACACATATAAATACACATGCGTATATATATTTTAACACATATATATGTATATATATATATACATATCGCACATATGTATGTGTGTGGGTACATATACACATATAAATGTAGTTAGGTATGGATATATATATATACTGTATAAGTACATACATACATATAAACGCATTTCATATATATGCATATACATGCATATACATACATACATATATAAAAATGTATTTATATATAATATGTATATGTATATATCTATAAATATATGTATAGATAGGTAGATAGATAGTTATCGATATAAATATAGATATACACAGACATACATTCATATTCATATATATACACACACACAAACATATATAATATGCATATATATTGATATATATGTATAAATATATAAGTAAGTATATATATGTGTGTACATATATACACACATATATTCATATATATATATATATATATATATATATATATATATATATATATATATATATATATATATATATATGTGTGTGTGTGTGTGTGTGTGTGTGTGTGTGTGTGTGTGTATGTGTGTGTGTACATATATATATATATATTCATATATATGCAAACACACGTATATGCAATGGAAGCAATGTAGCGAAAAGGCCTTCGGCATACTAGTGTTTTCTTTTTCGTCCCTTCGTTGTTCTATTTTCAATTTGTTCGACATGAATTTCATACTTATATATTTATATATATATACATACATGTATAAGTATATGCATATGTATACATATATATGTATAATTACATATACACACACATATATACATATATATAATATATGTATATGTATTCACACATATATAATATACATATATAGGTAAAAATATATACAATATAACATAGGTATACATATAAATGTATAAATATATACATATATATACATACATATATATACTTATATACTCGTATATATCAAGCAAGCAACCGTCTGCGGAGCACTTACCAATGCCGGGAACGCGAGAGCAACGGAATGGTGCAAGAAAGGTCTCGGCGTGGCACCAACTGGTCCTGAACTGACAGCCAGTGCCGTCCGGTCACGGTTTTTATCTTGGTTGAGGTCTACGTCAGAGAGTGCCACGCGGGCATCCTCCAGTGCCATGAGTTCTTTTTCAATTCAAAATTGCTGTGTAAAAATCGGCAACGATGACGGTTCCCATAATGCGCTTAACGTCTGATTATTTACGGCTTACGACTTAAAAGTCTTTCCTGAGCAAGTAAATTATGAATCTCTCTCTCTCTCTCTCTATTTCTCTATCATCTATCTCCCCTCTCACTCTCTCTATCTATCTCTACTCTCTTTTTTTCTCTCTCCCTCTGTCCTTCTCTCTCACTCTCTCTCTCTCTCTCTCTGTTCTTCTCTCTCACTCTTTCTTTATCTCCCTCTTTCTTTCTCTATCTCTCTCCCTCTCTGTATCTCCTCTTTATATATAACTATACACACACATGCATGTGTATATGTATACATATATATACATTATATATATGTATATGTATATATGCATACATGTACATATATATACACACACATTTATATATATAAATATATATCCATATCTATCTATCTATATACATATAGGTATATGTATATGTATGTATATAGACATACACGCACATTTTGCACATGCGAGTGTGTGTGCATTCATGCAAAAGCACATCACACGCACGCGCGCGCGTGACCACACGCATGGATTTGCTAAAGTTGAGTAAATCAGACCTAGACACGGTAGGGGGTGAGTCTATCGTAGATATGATGGTGGTTGAGAACCACAAATAATGATTACCTAACCAACTGCTCCCTTAGGGAAGGATCATGCGTCAGCCACCCCAGTATAAAAACTTAGTCAACAAGTTTTTCGTCAAACGTCGCATATATATATACACATGTATGCATATATATGTATATACATTATATCATATATTTATACACACACATATATATATGTATAAATATATACATATATATGTGTGTGTATCTATATACATATATATGTATTTGTATATAATATATAAATATTTATATATATGTACACACACATATATATGTATCTATGTATAATTATGTATATAACACATATATGAATACTTATGTATATAACACATATATGAATATTTATGTATATAGCATATATATGTATATTTATGTATACAACATATATACATATATATGCATATATATAACATACATATATATAATAGTATATATATAATATATACATATATATGTATTAAATATACATACATATCTTCTCTCTCTGTTTCCCTGTCTTTCTCTATCTGTCTATATATATGTTTCCCTCTTTCACTGTCTATCTATCTATATATATCCATCCTCTCTCTCTATCTATCTATCTTTACCTATTTATTTTCTCTCTCTTTATCTATCTATGTCCATCCCCTCTCTATATATATATCTATCTCTCTCTATCTCTACCTATTTTCCCTCATTTACTATCTGTCTATATTCATATGTCTATCTATCCATCCTCTCTCTCTCTCACACACACTCTCTCTTTCTCTATCTATCTATATATCCATCCCCTCTCTCTCTCCCTCTCTTTCTCTCGCTCTCCCTTCCCTCTCTCTCTCTATCCATCTATCTCTTTCTTTCTCTTCCTCCCCCCTTTCTCTTTCCCTTTCCTTCTCTCTCTCGCTCTTCTCTATCTCTGTGTCTGTCTATCTGTCTATCTATTTCTCCTCTCCTCTCTCTCTCTCTCTTATATATATATATTGCTCTCTCTCTTCTTTCTATCTATCCATCTCTCTCTATATATATGTATATCGCTCTCTCTCTCTCTCTTTCTCTCTCACTCCCTCTCCCTCACCCTCTCTCTCCGTCTCCTATATATGTATCTCTATATATATGTATTTATATCTCGCTCTCTCTCTTCTCTTTCCCTCTCTTTCTTTCTCTCTCTCTCTCTTCTTCTCCCTCACCCTTTCTCTCTATCTCCCTCTCTCTTTATCTATCTATTTCTATCTATTTTTACTCTTTCACTATCTATATATATCTATCCATCCTCTCTCACCCCCCTCTCTCTCTTTCTCTATCTACATCCCTCCTCCCCCTCTCTCCGTGTATCTCTCCTCTCTCTCTTTCTCT